CCAGTTCTAAGTCAACTTCACTTTAATTTCCACTAGTTCCTTCATAAGATTTGCATGTTAATGAGCTCATCTGCATCCCAGTTGGGAACTATTCTTCCATTTCAGAAGAGGGAGGGAATTATGTCAGGGCCACACCCAATCCCAAGTCCCCAAGACAAGTGAGTTAATTCTGTGCTTCAGTAGCTGGCCGGCCTGAGACAGGATGAAAAGCAGTTTAGTGCTGCTTTTGTGCTTTCTCAGTGTTGTACCCCAAAACCACGGCAGCAAAGACATAGCTTTAAGAACATCTATTTCTTTTTTAAGAACATCTTTTTCAAAACCCCAGTTTTTTTTCTCTTCTTGATATTAGAATTCCCTAAGAGAAATCTGAATCTCACTGGGTTCATTAACTCTCAAAGCAAATGGAGAGGGTAAGAAAAATGCAGCACACAGTTGTGTCAAGTCTTCATTATATTCATTTCTGAGAGGCCAACTGCTTAGGTTTAGACTCCAGAGGCTCTTCATAGGTGGTGCATGGCTCCCTGGCCTTGTCCCAGCCCCAGATGCCTAGGCGCCAGGCAGAACTGCAAAAGCTCCCAGGCACATGCTACTCACATTAGGGCAGAGAAAATCCTACCCCAAGTCACACTGGCACAAAGAAGGGGTCTGTACAGCTTGCTGTTTGTAAGCCTCGAGGTTGATCCTCCCAGAAGGCCCAAGCCCCCACATCAGTGTCCCCTCTGACCCCTGGCCACCTGTCTATAACAATAAAACCCACATGACTGCATGCTGTTTGCACTGTGTCCTGGGGGAATGGAGGAGGCACCAAGAAGTAGTGGTCTAGCTGTGTAAAAAAGGATATTAACATTATCAACCATATACTAAATACCAGGCATTACAGAAGTGTAGATATCCTACTCACATATAAGTCACTCAGAATACTAAATGATCTCTCAAGTCTCATTGCGACTAGGGAAAGCAAGGATTTGCATCCAGGCCTGAAGCAACCAATTTTACTCCTGGAAGAATTCTTTGAAGTAACAATAAACACTATAACCCCTGTAGCTGCCTCCCCCCACCCCAAGATGGGAATAAAGACAATACTCCAAATTACCCAAAAGCTAGCAGGGAGAAAGCTGAGGAGGAAGAAAAAGGAATGTTATTTGTATAAACTATGTACATAATTACACATTGTCTTTCTTTCCATGCTTAGTTACAGAACACTTCTATACACTTCTATTAATTCTTCACAGAAATGCTGGGAGCATCAAGAGCATCAATTCACCTTGGCTAGAAATGTGACTTCTGTAGTATTTACCATTTTAACAAAATCTATAACCATAAGGGACTTGGAAGGTCCCCACAGAGAAGAAAGGGGACCTTTCTCTCACCCAGTTTCTTGAAGACCCCTGTAGTCGAGAAGGGAGGAGACAGGACCACCACCCCCTCTGCCATCTAAGGGGGCCGTTTTTCACAGCAGTTCCTAAGTCCTGCTCAGTTGAAAGTTCTATAAGTCAAACTCAGCAGCAGAACTGCAAACTCCCCGCCACAGGATGTTAGGCATTTCAAACTGTTGCTGAGTTAGCAGCACTCCCTTGAGCAAACACAAGCTCAAGTCACCACACAGGCCCCTACCCCACTCCAAGATGGGGGAAGGGGGGCTCCAAAGGAGACAGAGGAGGGAGCCTCAGTCAGCCACAAAAAGCCCAAGGCTGAGACTGGGGAAGGAGGGAGAAGAACCAGTGGGACAGGAGGAGCCAGCTACAAATAGGTATCCTGGACCCACACGGAGCAGCAGTTAAGGAAGAAAGCCCCACCAAGATTCAGTCTAAGCTTTTCAAGTTAAGGGCCTAGCTACAACTACAGTGAAAGGTGTCTGATCTTTTTCATGAGAGAATAAGGCAGAATTTCTCCCTCTGGGGAGAAAGCAAGAGCTAGAGAAACTTGCCACCATCCTAATTCTGAGGGATGGTCAGCTAAGACAACCTATTCAGTTCCACATGTGAGGAGGCAACCCCAAGCATCATGACCCTCCCTGAAAGGAAGGGGCACCGGGTCTCATGGAAAACAAAAAAAGGTCCAAATGTTCCCAAAGGGCCTATGGGTCACTTTGAGTTCTGGAAGAGGCAGCCTCCACCCTCTCATTTCACACTGGGATGTTGGGGGGTGGGGGGTAGGGGGGGGGCCTGTTTCCTTGGCTTTCCCTGCCTAACCCTCAAAGCCTATGGCATAACCTCCCAGAAGTGAGGTGACACCTTTGTATGGGGCTAGAATAAATGGCCATTCTCTGACCAAACAGATATTAACTTTTCTTTTTTACTTTTGATATTACATACAACCCTGTCCTTGCTGCACCAGGAAGCCATTTCACCCATCTGTCTGGGAAGATGATCCAATTTTGGTCCTTTTATCATCAGTGCTTTCAGCAACTTTCTTCTACTTCCCCTACTGTAATTACTTTTGAATCATCAACACACCCAGTCAGCCTTAAAGCTCCGAGAACAGAATACTAAAAAAGGGGGAAAAAAAACCCCAAAAAACCTTCAATGCCAACAACTTGACTAAAAAACACTCAAGCTAGGAACAATTTGGTGTTTTTTTTGTTTTGTTTTGGTAGAAATTTACTTATTTATAAACTGCCTCACACTCCTTCCTTGTTTTCCAAAGGGAGGAAGGCCTAGAGACTGGGTGCTGTGGAGAGTGGGGAGGGCAAGAAACTCCTAAAGGAGCTAATTAAAACATTTGCTTCCCCACCTCCCCCCGCAACTTTTTTTCCCTTTCGTAAGGATGTAGGATTTGTTTGTCAATGATAAGGGGCTCAGAAAGTTGGCCTGCTGGTTGCTGGGTGCCCAAAGCAGCCTTGGAAGAAAGTATGCCTTTTCTGGAATGCAATCAAATTACATGGGGAGAGAGAGACCCATGGCTGCTGGCTTAAGAATTCAGATTCTTAAAAAAGGAAATGAAAAATGTTAAATCCAAGAAAACCCAACCAGCATCAACAACTGAACACTGTCAAGAAGCCAGATGCTTTGCTTTTTGCTATCACCTACTCTTTTCCCTGCCATTTGCCCTGTTGATGAACCACCCAGCTCTTATTTGTAAGATGCCCTTTCAGCAGTCCAACTTTCCCTCATTCCAGGTGTGGTGCCCTCACCGGGGAAAGGCACCCTCGAGGGCGCCTACCCAAAGGGAGGACCTGAATGGGGAAGCACAGGGTTCTTCCCTGTTCTCATCAACACTGCCCCCTCTGGAATCCTTCAACACCCACATTTTTTCAGCTCTGGCTAGCTCTTGGAGTCCTTTCCTGGGGTGAGGTTGGGAAGAGAGTGCATGTCAGAAGTGAAGTTAGCAATACCTAAAGCCTCCCTTCTTCAGCCCTCAGCACAGCTAAGCAGCCCGCAGAGGAGTGAAGCTGCAGCCTGGGTCCCACAGCCTGGTTAGTGATGCAGCCAGGGGCTTTTGCGGGAGGGAGGAGGAGGGAATCTGAGTAGGCAAGGCTCTCCCCCCACCTCCTCAGAACAGACTTATTTAAAGAAGGGCCAGTGATGCAGGAGGCATACACTGCCCCCTACCCCAGAAACTGGGGAAAGACTGACACCACCAGCCCTGCTTCTTTGCCCCTAGGCAAGTTGAGGAGCTCCTTGGGACGGGGAACCCCAGGAATAAGTGATCTGATAATTAATGTTGCCAAATAGGGGCATGTGGGGCAACACCAAGGCCCTGCAGCTGGGCCCCAACAGGTTCCAGGCCTTAAACTGTTCAACTGCAGCACTCGCCCTTTTCACCCAGTTCTGAGGGATCCAGGGAAGTGCAGGAACGCTCCGAATTTGGTCTCCCCAGCCTCCGGGCCAGGTGGCCCCAGTCCGGGAAGTTCTCCAGGAAAAAAAAACGACGTTACTCCTTACTCTCCGTGTAAATTCTCTCCGCTATTTTAGACACATTCCTCAAGGCCCTAAGAGGAACGTGGGGGAGGGGAAGTTTCGTGGCCTCCACCGTGACCAAACTCAGAGAGATCCCACCCTGGAGCCCCAACCTTTCCCCGCCCCGGGAAAGGCCTCAGCCTCATCCCGCTCCGGTCCCCAAGGCCACCCCAGAAAGGGCCCGCCACCCCCTTCGCGTCTCCACCTGACCCTCAGGAAGGCGGGGGCCGCGAGCTGCTGCCCACGGGGAACTCGCACTTTTTCGCTGCGCGATTCAGAAACATGCCGGGTCTGATGCCATCCCGCGAATTATGTAACCAGGGACACCGCTCCCGGGCTAAACAAACGCGGCTCTGTGTGCAGTCGCGGGCCCGGGGAAGCACACCGGGGCAGGGAGGGGCTCCGGCCGGGCCTCGGGGTCAGAAGGGTTTGCTCAGCAAAAGCGGCAGGAGGCGGCTGGCCCCTGCACCGCCGAGGTCCCAGGCCGAGCGCCCCGCGGCGGGCGGGATAGGTCGCGTCGGTCAGGGCTCTGCCCCTCCCCCACCGCGGCCGCCCCCGCCTCCGGGCGGTGAACTTGGTCCCAAGTCCCGCCGGACGCCGTCACCGCCCGCTGCCAGGACGACCTCGGGCTTGGGGGGAGGGGGGGCAGGAAGTGCTGGACTCCAATCGCGGCTCCATTCCAGCTCGGGACCCTTCCGTCCCCCTCCCCAACCCTCAACCCACGGTCCTGGGGCAGCCGCGCGCTGTGGTGCGGTAAAGTGATGACCCCACCCCCCAACTCTGGAGGAAACAGACGCGGGTGGACTCGTGCTTGCAGCGCTACCCCTCAGTCTCTTTGCCCGGGGGGAGGGGGTGCGGGACGGGGTGACAGCTGCGCGAATGATGCCCCTCCCCCTCCGGTGCCGCGAGCCTGGGCCCCGCGCAGCCCCCACGCGGGTCTGTGTGCAGACCCGGACGCGAGGGCGGATGGACTAGGGGGTACGGTCGGAATCGCCAACTCTGAGCCCCGGGAGATCAGGGGCCGAGACTCGGGTTCGGGGCCGTGTTAGCCCCCTCCCCGCCTGGGGGCGACGCAAAGTTTTGGGAAGTTGCTGCCCTTACCTTGCTTGGTGAGCACCAGGGCGTCTTCCCTCCGCGCCTGGGTGATGATGGAGCCGTGTTCCATCTAACAATCCCGCGGGCCCGGGCTGGCTGGGCGGGAGGACGGGCAGGCGCGCAGGCTGGGCTGGGCTGGGGGGCCTGGGCGGGGGCCCGCTCCGGCTCCGGCTCCAGAGACTCGGACTCCCACAGCTGTTCACATCCCTGCTCTCGTTTCCTCCCTGGGCTGGGAAGGGAGGCAGCCTATACCGAGAGCGGGCGGCCGGGGCAGCAGCTCCACCGGGTGCCCCCGGCCCCGATCCCCCGGCGGCAGCTCCGGGCTCCTCAGTTTGGGTCCAACATGGAGAATCCGGAGCGAAAACAAGAGGAGGAAATGGGACACGGGGCGGTTTCCAGGCTCCCCCCTCCCCTCCGTACTCCAGATAAACAACCCGCGGCTGCAGCGCCCACCCCCGCGCGCCTCCCGGCTCTGGACCCGGCCTCTCCACCGCCCTTCGGCGTCTCCCGTTGCGAAACACTGTCCTACGCCACGGAACCCTCCACCAGCTAGCGGATGGGGCTTCGGAAGATCCCGAGCTTTGCTATTTTGTTACGGAAAAAGCGAATCCCCGAGGGGGGTAGGGTGGCGGGCGGGCAGGCTGGCAGGGGAGACTTGAAACCGCTCCGGCGCTCCGATTGGCCCTCTTGGAGAAAAGGGGCGTGGCCCCTCCTTACTATGCGGTGCGAGGACCCAACAACATTCCAGTCGCTACGGCCACGCCCCCGGGACACTCCCCCTTCGCCCGGCAGCGGCCTCCCAGTCTCCTCGGCCACACCCCCTTCCCAACTACTTAAAAGGACACTCCAAAGCTCACGTTTCCCTACTCTGTGCTAGGCTGTTCCGGTTTGTTCTTTTCTGCCCGGGTAACCAGGGAAAGCCGCGAAGCCTAACCCAGGTCGGGCCTTGATGAGAGGATTACGGGTAGTTTTTTTACTTCCTGCTTGTGAGCCCACTATTTCACATAAAAGAGTACGACCATAGAATCTAGAAAGAGATGAAGGCGGACGCAGGATTCCAGAGTATCAGAGCTGGAACTGACCTCGTGATATCTGACCCCTAACACTTCAAATGAGACAAGAGGTGCAGGGCTTTGCTCAAAGCCATTCATTTATTCCCATGTGGGGCTTACCGCTTCTTCTGCTCCTCCTAACCCTGCCCTCTTCACCCCCCTTGCCCGTATGGTCCCAGCCTCAGTTTAAATGGATGGCGGTCTCTAAGGGAAGAGCTTCAGCTCTGTGGACTCTTGCTGGCCTCCGTCCTTGCTCTTAGGCCCCAGGCACCTTACGCTGGCATAGCTCCTGGACCCTCATGAGCCTCCTGCCGAAGACTAGCTGAGAAATATTCATTTGTTCCCAAGAAGTGAGAGCTCCACAAAGGCCAGTAGAAGCTCAATATCAGGTCTTTTGCAGTGAGCTACGTCTGTCCACAGGCGACGTGGACTACCTTGGAAAGAAGGGAGCTGTTCAACTCAAGGCTGGCAAGAGTGATGTAGAGTGAGATTGCACTGGGTGACTTTTGAGCTGCTTCCAAACCTAATAGTCTATGATTCAATGGAACTCACCCTGCCAAGGAAGGAGCTTCCAGGAAGATCAAGACTTATCTGGTCTGGGGGGGGGCGGGCGGAGTGGAGGCAGCTGATGTCCTTCCTGCTGCAGTTTCCACTGCCCAACATGCACCTAGTCTCACTGGGGGTCAGAGGGACAAGTAGGTCACACCTTAATTTGCTTGGTTAAGTTAACTGTCAAATACCTGCTCCCCATAGTCCCTCCTTCATGAGGACAGGTGAGGTGTGTGTACATGCCTGTGTGCCTTAACAGTGCTGATGGGTGCCTTTTCCTTCTGTTCCCACACATACATACACAAAACCTTTTTACATAACACCATTTTAATGGAAATGCTGTTTTTCCAAAAAGAGAGTAGCTGTTACAAAAGATCTGAATGATGCTTATGTAACTTTAAACACTGAGTTTGGGTAGATTCTAATTCATTGACAGAAGGTGATAGGGAGGAGTTCTCACAGATTTACTTCCCATCATTATCAAAAGATCATTAAAACAATAGGATTATTAAAGTAAATCTTCAATAGTTGAGTTGCTAGGGGGCCTTTTGGGCTCTGCCCCCTCACTCTTGCAAGGTAGCTCCGTTGCAATGGGAGGAGGAGTGCAGGCAGGAGCTGAGGGCTGAAGATTCAGGGGGACCTGCTACCCCCAGCTCTGAAGTATTAGGCAGGACACTTCACCTCTCTACAATTACATTTCCTCATCTATAGAGGCAATCCCTCCCCATTTATAGTTTACAAAGTACTTTCACATACATTATCTGTTTCATTTGATCTCTTCATTGGGGTTCACAGAGCAGATATGTTCATTTTGTAGATGAGGCAACAGAGTCTGGAAAGGTTAATGGACTCACCTAAGGTCTCACAGCTTGTTCAGAAGAGGAGGCAGGACCAGAAGTAGCCTTTAGACTTTACTACTAAACTCTTGACACTTTACCATAGTTCCTTTCCTATCTATAGGTTGGAGGATATACTAGAACCTAGTTTCTGTCTTTTCTTGCTAAGAACTCTGACTGCATCACCTCCTCTGGGAAGCCCTCTTAGATACTCACTCTCATGTCAGGGCCTTATAGCCTCTTACATACTCTCTCAGAGCACTTAGCATTGTGTCTTGCAACTATTAGTTTGCTTATTGGCTTCCCAACCAGAAGATGGATGGACACTAGGGACTGTAGTATTCATTATTGGGTCTCTTGTACCTAGCATAGTGCCTGACACACAGCAGGCAGACTTTATGTGTTTGCTATCTGAGTACTGACTCTGACTTAACCAGTGTTTTTTTGACCAGGGGTTCAGTGACCCACAGCAAGAAACATTTTACGTCGTGAGATAACTGAAACAGTTTCATGGCAACAATACTTATTCTTGCCATGTGCATGCACCCTGATATTTTTTATTGTATTTTATTTCATTTTTCAAGGTGCTGGCCATAACCCTCTAAATTGTTTCATGACTCACCTCCAGGTTGTAACCTATAGTTGGAACAACACTGCTTTCATCTCTTGTCTGCTGTGGACATCTATGTGTAGGGCTCTAGATGTTCCTGAAAGGTGCAGAGGAGATGGCCTTCGAGTGCCTCTTGCTTTGAGGTTCATAAATAACCTCTTGCCTCTAGGCCCTGGGCCAGTTGCTGGCTGTGTGACTTTGGGTAGGCTGTTTAATTAGGTTTAAGGGTGATAGCTGAAGCCAGGGCTCTCTAGGCCTAACAGCTCTCCCAAGAAAAAGCTACAGACTCTGTTTTGTCACCTGTCGGCTCCATCCTTTTACCTTACCTGTACCTCAATTGGAAGGTTGGTGAGAGGCAATTTGGAAACAGCAGCGCTCCCCCACCCCCACCCCTGCCCCAAATCCAGTGCAAGCAGTAGGGTAGTGAGGGTGGGCCTCAAAAGAGCGGCAGTCCCTGTCTGTCTCCCATGACGACTCGTGTTGGATTGGGTGTTCCCGAGCCAAGTTTTGGGAAAGGGAAACAGAGCTGGAGGAGCTTCCTCTGTGGGGAGGTATGCTTGCTCCAGAACCCTAATCCTTTCTCCACAGAAAATAAACATGGGGTTGGGCCTAGGGAGACCTTTCATGACCCTCTGATGTCATTGAAATGTTCCATTTAATTTTTTTTCTTATTTTTATTACAAACGGAACACATCCATTTTCTTGCTTTCTCTGATTATTCCCAGTTTCACTTCTGTTTTGTATTGTAACTGGGAAGGTGGGGTCTCAGTACAAGGGTTCCGGAGCCCTGTGCCCTCCTGTCACGAGGCTTGTACGATCCCATCCTGGCTGCTCAAGGCAAGGTCCTGGGGGTAAGGTGGGGTGGACTGAGAGAGGGAGGTCCAGTGACAGTGACTGAACAGCTGTGGGGTGCCAGATGCCAGGGCTGGGGAGAGATGAAGGCTATGGAAGTGGGTATAGCTTCTCTGTAGAGTAGCCTGGCTACGTAACCTTGCTGGGGGCTTCAGATTTGGGATAACGCATTCTGCAAGGTGCAGGCCTGCTCATCATCCTACCCTTACCATTTGATTACTTAACCCCTTGATTTAGTTCCCTCATATTAAAATGCGGATTACAGTCGTAGTACCTACCTCATAGGTTACTGTGAGTATTCAATGAGACAATATCTTGTTTAATGAGATAGTGCTTGAAACACTGGAAAGGCTCAGTGAATATCACGCTCATCATCAACCTTTTGGAGGAAACCTGTTCCTTCTGCATTCATCACCTGTCCAGTTCCCCAAGCCAGAAACCTGAGGTCACCCAAGATTCTTCCTGCCCACTCATACCCACCCCCAATCTGTCCTGGAGACCAGTGGCTCTTCCTTTTGTCTGGCCTTTTCGTTTTTTTTTCCATTCCCACTGCTGCTATCTCAGGGGAGGCAGGCCACAGGCTCCTAATCAACCTCTTCCCTTCTCTAGGTCCCAAATCCAAATCCATCCCCAGCTCTCCTAGAAGATGCAAATCTGATCCTGTCTACATGGAATGATTCAGCGGTTCCCCAGGACTTTCCCGAAGAAGCTTAGATACCACCAGCTCTGGCTCTTGTTGGCTTCCTCTTCCCAACTAACCACCTGGGACTCTTTGAAGCCCTGTGCCTCCACACCTTTGCACAGGTAGTTCTCTCTGCCGTTATGCTCTTCCCCCTCCTGTATGATGACGCCTCACCCTTTAAAATATAATTCAAGTGCCACTTTCTTTCTCACATCCTCCCGGGTCCAGCCTGACTTAGATGCTTCTTTGTGCCCCCGTATTTTCATTCTGGTTTACTTGATTGTTCCCCGCGACTCCAGTGTGTCAGCTCCTTGAGGGCAGGCACTGTCTTTTTTTCTCCATACCCCTGATGCCTATGACAGACCCTGGCACACAGTAGGCTCTGTTGTAAGCCAGACCCAGCTGGCACCTTCCTGTCTGGTCACTGCTAATGTCCTGGGCCACTGAGGCAGGGAGGCTGGGAGTTAGAATGCCAGCCTCCTAGGTACTTTCTCCACCACCCAGGCCAGGAACGTCCCAGACCGGGAGCAGAGCCTCAGCCTGACTACTACCACAGGAGTCATGTCCTATCTAACCAGAGCTTTGTGAAACCCGACCGATCTTGCCCAGTTCAGAGAGGGCACGAGGAGTGGACGCACCCCCAGCAGGGCAGACCCTCGACCTTCCACCCCAGGTCAGTGTTCCAGAGTGTAAGATAAGGGCAAATGGCTCTATCTGCGGTGGGAGTTGGTGGGCCTGGCTGGGATTCCCGCCTCCCTTGATACCAAGTCCTCGGAAACACAGCCTGCCCCTCCCCCCACCTAGTCCTGAGTAGCCACGTGACCTGCTCCCCCAGCAGCCACTAAATCGCCTGGCTTCGGCCCTTCTCCTAAATAGGGAAGCGACAGGAACAGATCAAGTTTCAAGGCCCGTATTTACAGGTTCCCTAGACGAAGCCAAACCTCCGCCCGCTGCCCCGCTGCCCACCACTCGCGTAGTGGGGAATGGAGAGAAAGGGCCCCTTCTGTGGGCCCCTCCTGTGCCCCACCCCCACCCATCAGCCCTCAGAGCCCCGAGTGCGGCCCCTCCCTCCCCGCAGTTCCGCCCGCCCCTCTGGAGGCAAAGCTTAGGTCGCCGCATTCCTAACCCCAGGCGGCCCTTTGAGGTCACTGCGTGGTGGGGGTGGGGTGGAAGGAAGCCCCTGACCCAGGCTAGCGACCTAGAGGCTTTGCAGTGATGCCGATTCTGGTTCCTTCTCACTAGCCCCCGCGGAGGTCAGATTCAATTTGGCCTGTAGAGCTGCGGGACTGTGATGCTCGGCCGTTTTTTTACCCTACAGCGCCTACTGTGTGTCTGGTGCAAGCTGAGCACTGAGGCTTCTTAACCTCCAGTCCTCCCTACGCCCTAGGCAAGGGCCGCATCCCAAGTAGTTGAAGACACTGGCCGGGAGTCACCTAGGCCTGCCACCTTGAAGGGCTGGAAATCTCAGCTCTTGGCCTGCAAAGTGAACAGGGAGATGAGAAAATTGGAGAGCCAGTCGCTCAGTTTAGGCCAAGATCTATCCTTGCTAGGCAGGTCAAAGCCAGAGCTGTGTTCCCCCTTTTTAGCCTGGGTCCCAGGCCTCTGAGAGCTGTACTTTGGGTCTGGAGACAGGGACTCCAAGAGGATTGATTTCCTTCAGAGCTGAGCAGACAGTCCCTAAGTTGCTCACTCCATTCTAGTGGAAACTCAGAGAGTTAAACAGCCCTGTACATACTAAAGCTGACCCTGGCCCCTTGAAGGGGCTTTTGCTTCTTTATGATATTGAGGCAGGAGTGGGTAGATTGCAAGTTAAAGTCCTGGCTACAGCCAACTTGCCTGAGAAGTATGACCTTGTAGGACAGAGAAAGAGTACAGAGCAGAATAGAGATGGCAGAAGGGTGGCATATTTTGGATGGAGGGGGAGATCTGCATTTTTTGTGAATCATTAATTCACTCATTTGAATATTTATTGAGCCCTTACTAACCATGAGTTGTGTATTTAGCTATTTGCGTGATCATTGAGTGTTTTACCATGCACCAGGCCAGTCTAGTGGGAAAGCCAAACAAATGAGGGACATTTACTATACAGTGTGCTAAAAGTAACAGTGGGAAGCACAGCTGTATGAAAGCACAGAGAAGGAGCACTTCGCCCTGATCAGGTTGGGGATGAAGATAGCTATGGAGGAAGTGTTATCTAAGCTGAGGCCTGAAGTATAAACTATGGTTAATTGCTTGGGGTGATAGTGGAGTTGGAAAGAATAGCCTTCCAGGTAGAGGGCACAGTGCATGCCAAGTCTCAGAAGCATGATCTGGAAACCAACAGTTCAGTAGGGCTGGAGCATAGCCATTGGGTGGATCGCTGGAGGAGATAGATTGTGTTTGGGAGAGGAAGACAACGGAGCTGATAAATAATGCCCACTTGGGAGAGGATGAAGAGTGGAGAAACCCCTGCTCCTTTGTGTCCACATGGGGTCCTTACAGGCATGCTGTAGTGGAGGGCGTGACATCTCCTTTAATAGATGTTTACAAAAGTAATATTTATTTTTATTAAGATAATACACAGCTTAAAAAATCAAATGGTTCTAAAGGGTTTGTAACAAAAACAGAAGCCCCCCTGGCATTTCTCCCAATCTTTATCCTCCTCCCCAGGGGCAACCACTTCGAACTCTTTTAACTGCTTCTGCTGGTATTTCCTTCCTTATTTCTAAGTAATACATGAACTGTCATTCTGGATTCGTCTATCTAGTTTGTTGACTTCTTGTTTCAGTAGATGAAGATTTTGATTCTCTTACTGACCTCTTCCCCTCCCCCACCCCCGTTATGTTTATATCATTTGTGGCTAACTCCATGTTCAGTGATTTCATTATTGACTTTGAAAATATTGGGTTGTCGGAAACGTCATGACGCATTTTTATGACAAAAAACATAGAAAAATACGTCATGGCGTTTCCGACAACCCAGTAGTTTACTTTTGAGGCAAGTATTCTGGTTACATTTCCTTTTCTAATATAACTTTTTTGTGTGTGCTCTGTTTACATTTCTTTTCTTGAACAACTTTTTTGTTTTTCTTGGAGTTAATTGCCTCATTTTTTATTTGCTTGGTTTTCTTTGCATCTCTGGCTCCATCTTCCCACAGCCTTTAACAGTTCTGTAAAACGCCTTCTCAGTACAATTTTGCATATGGTCAAACCTGTCATGTACACTTATAGGTTCTGTTTTGGTTTTCCTTGGAGACATTTGTCCTGGGGCGCTCCATCCTACTTTTCTCTGGATGTGTTGCTCTCCAGGCCTGTAGAACCCCTGTCACTCTCAGACTTCCCATTGCCAGTAGTTAAGAATTCCCTTTGCCTTTTTCTCTTTTCAGGACCCACTGTCTTCCTTTTTCTTGGTTTACTCCCTTGTTTGGAAGAAGCACATCCTCTAGTAGCTTCCTGAGAAAGAATGCCTGGTAGGTAACATTTTAGAACCTTTTGCATACCTAAAATTGCTTTGTCCTACCCTCACTCTTGAAGAATAGTTTTGAGTGGATATGGAATTTTAGGTTGAAAATCCTTTTCCTTCAGAATTTTGAAGACATTGTTCTTTTGTCTTCTAGCTTCTAATTTTGCAATGGAGGAGTCTGTTATTTTGATTCTTGACACTTTGAAGTCACCTCCCACTCCCACCCCACCCCACTTTTAAGATTTTTCTCTTTTCTTCCTGATACATTAAAACATCACAATATACTGGCATTCATTTTTCTATACTTGATAGGTCTTTTTAATCTAACTATGGTATTCAAAGTGTGATCCCTGGACCAGCACCATCAGCATCACCTGTTGGAAAATGTTAGAAATGCAAATTCAGGGCCTTACCCCACATCTACTGAATCAGAAACTGGTGATAGGGCCCAGAAATCTGTGTTTAACAAACCCTCCAGGTATTCTGATTCATGCTAAAGTTTAAGAACCTCTGCTCTAAAAATTAATGTCCTTTAGTTCTGAGAATTTATTTATTATTTCTTTGAAATTTGTGCAACTCCTGTTATTTGGAATACTGGACCTCTTGGATTGATCCTGTAATTCTCGTATTATTTCTCTTATTGACCATCTCTTCTATTTTCTGGGAGATTTCCTCAATGTTACATGTCAATCCATTTACTAACTATATTGTTATGACCCTTTCTCTTTTTAAAAAATAAAATTTCAAGAGTGCTTTCATGCTCCCTGTTTCTCTTTTCTTTTTAAAACAGTTTCATGTTCTTGTTCTTTGGATATATGCAGTATCTTATCTCTCTGAGAATATTAATTTGAAATGTTCTTCTCCCTGTATTGTCTCTGTTTCCTCTGACTTTATGTTTTCTGTTGTTTTGATTTGTGTCATGTTAGAGTCTTTCCTCAGATATCCGGTCTTCCTTGGCTGTCCATTCATATTTGAGAAGGAGGCACTAGAGAGCCAGCTGAAAACTCTCAATGTGCGCTTACGGTGGGGCAGTTAGGTGGTTGTCTAGACTCTTTCATTGGAAGCCCCAATTGTCAGTATCAATGGCGCAGTTTTTTTTTTTTTCCAGAAAAGGATCCTCTAGTCTTGACCCTCCCACTTAAAGGTTAGAAGCTCATCTGCTCAGAGTCCTAGGGTGCAGTGTGGGAAGTGGTGAGAGGTGTGTGGCAAGCAGGCTGAATACCACAATTCACAATTCAGAATGCTTTCACTCAGTTTTTGATCCCAATCCTTCTCTACTTTCACCCTCCACAAAGTCCAAAATCGCTCTGTTTCAATGTCTGCAGAATCTATCTTCCTGTTTCTTGCATGAGTAGGGAAGGGGACATAATAAGTCACTTGATTGTGCTGGGAACTACTGGGTTTCCTGACTAATTACTCTTTAAATAATCTTCGAACCATCCCCCAGTTTTTAGACCCCTGCCTTCTGGTTTACTTGCTATTTCTTTGTTTTTTTAACTGGGGAATTGGGGAAGGGGAACAGCCAAGTTGTTGTTCTTCAATCTTAGTTGTGGAGGGTGCAGCTAGCTCAGCTCCAAGTCCAGTCACCATCTGGCTGACCATCGGCAGCTTGCGGTCGCTCAGCTCAAGGTGCTGTGTTCAATCTTAGTTGTGGGTGTGTGTAGCCCACCATCCCATGTGGGAGTCTAACCGGAAACCTTGTTGTTAGAAGCACCTGCTCTCACCAGCTGAGTCATCCTGCTCCCTGTTGGCAGCTCAACGGCAGCTCACCTCCGGCACACCTCACAGGCCCATGTGGGAATCGAACCGGCGACCCTGTTGCTCAGAGCTTACGCCCTTAACCAACTGAGCCATTCGGCCGGACCCTACTTACTACTTCTAATTGCTGAGATTCTATGGGCCTCTGAGGGAAGAATCGGCTTGCTTCTTGTGGGTATATGCTTCTGGATGTTTTGGGCCTCCCTTTCCTAGTCATTTGCCACCCTCCCATCCACTTTCTGTTTTTATGTGATGTGGTTCAGGATTCTAAATGTCCCCTAGTTTAATTGAAGATGGAGTTTGGGTTTCTGTTTCTTATTCTTGTCATTCTGAGGACCAGAGAAATGGGGGACAGAAAGAGTTTTACTGCATCTTATGACCCGAAGCCTGAGATGTCTTCTTGAGGTGGACAGCAGTGATGTCTGTCTTGATCCTGCTGACAAAGAGTTAGGGTTATCTTTAGGAGGAAGGTGAGCATGGGGAGAAGAGGAGCTTCAGGAACTTAGAAGAGCTGCTGTGGGAACTTGATTGGGAACACCCCAGAGAGGACAACAATTAGTACTGGGTTCCAGTGAGGCCTAGTTGGGGTGAGACAGTAAGAATCAATGGTGAGTATAGCTAGGGACTGGAATGGACGTAGTAAGCAGTGGGGAGTAACCCCCAGATCAGAGGGAGGTAGTGAGGGGGGTGGAGAGCATTCCAGAATCAGAGGGAGGGGCAGTAAAGTGGCTGGCTTTGGGGCAGGCCATTTGCTATGAGGCTGAAGAGGATAAGACAATATTGACAACCACTAATTGGATGTTGATATGTGCCAGGGACTGGACCAAGTTCTTCAAAGCAGGGTCATTGGGAGTAGGGAGCCAAGAGGAGGAAGGAAAAGAGTTTGAGGTTAGAGAAGGAAGGTCTGAGTCTCAGATTTGAGGATGGGGCAAATCTGGGTAATGATGGAGTCTTGGGTCCAGAGGTGGGAGAGCTGCTCACATGCAGAACCATGAAGCAGCATGTCCCTGAGGAGAGTGAGCGATGAGGTGGACAGGAATGGCTGCACAGTTGCTCAGGTCTTCTGAAGGAAAGGCAGTGGGTGGGAGAGGCCAGTCATCTAGGTGGATGGCCTCTTGGACACCAAGGAAGGGTAGAATTTTATAAAGGGAGGGTGGTCACTTCTGTCCACTTCAATATGAATATCCATGTGACCCACCTTCCCCAGGTTACATAGTCACCGTAAAGTCACCTGAAACATACAGCCTCTAATCTAGCTCTCAAAACCCAACAGACTTTTCCCCCCGGGGTCTTAGGGCTATTTCACATCTGCTTCTGTGTGGACATTCTATTCTGTTTCGTGGTTGTGTGCTGACATCATTCCTCCTGGCTGTGAATGCTGCTCCTGTCACTCCTCACTGAGCAGCCTCAGAGCTGCTTCAGCCAGAATTCTGTGGTTACAGGCCACAGAAACCAACTCTGGCTAACTTGAGCAGAAAAACAATTTGTTGGAAGGTTATTGGGCAGCTCATAGATTCAGTAGGCACTCCCTACCTTTTTTTCCTGTGCCAGTAAGCTTTGATTTTGTTCCTGGACTTACCTGCATGTATCCAGGGAAGGAGACCCTTCTCAGCCACAGGAGATAAATGTTGATAAGTCTAAGCAGTCAATCAGGTACTTCTACTTCATTGCCAGTGACTGGTTAGGCCTAGGCATGTGATTCGAGCTGGCCAACAAGATGTAAGGAAAGGCCCACTAGGCCAGGGGTCTGGACAGAATCACAAAGAAACTGACTGGAGCCTTGACTTTATTGAAAGTGGCATAAACCCTGTCTTCCTCAGAGAAATGATATACTTGCTCATTGTTTAAGCCACTTTAGTTGGTCTTCTGTTGCTTTCAGGCAAAAGGTCCTAACTGACACATAAATGCCGGGCATCTTTCTCAGGTAGTTGATGGGGTAAAAGAGGGGGAAATAAGCTGATGATGAAAGGGCAGGATTAATAAGGTTTCAATATAAAGGAGGCTGACACATTTTTGGAGCTATAAGAATTACCTAATAGATAAGAATTGACTGAAACTTCAGTCAATTTTCTCTCCCCTACAGAGAAGGGGAATAACTGAGGGGGGAGGCCACCACTCATTATGTAGACACTTAGTCTATACCAGATTCCACGAAAGAGGCTAGGATAGAGTGATGAGCAGAAGACAGGATGCCTGCTGTTATGGAACCTTCAGTTTGGGTGGGGTGGAGAGACAATGAGCAAAATAAACAGGATTCTAGAAGGCACCTTTAGGGGTGGTGGTTAATTTTGATAGAGGGTGGTCAAGAAAGTCCCCTCTCAAGAAGAGACCCAAAGGATGAGAACGAGCCAGGCACGTGAAGAGCCATATGGAAATTCCAGGAAATGTCTCAGGGCAGCAGGTGGCTCTGTCCTGGCTGGGAGTCCAGTGCCCACTCCAGAAAGGGAAAGAGATGGCAGCAAAATTTTCCTTGGAGGCTCACGCAGGCTTGGAGTGACAAAGTGGCTGGAGACATGTATTTTCCCAGGTCTGACGTGGACATCACCTCCCCTGTGGTAGGATAGGCTGGGAACATAGGTGTCACTGACATTCTAGAGGCTGGAAAAGTTTGAATGGAGTATTTGGAGCGAGAACTTGTGGGTTGATAGAAAGACACATGGGGGGCCGGCCGAGTGGCGCGATGGTTAAGAGCTGGCTTGGGACGCCAGAGGGCCCCGGTTCGGATCCCACATATGAGGGCCAGTGACACTGCCCTCTACAGCTAAGATGCTGAACAACAGCTCAACCTGGAGCTGGGCTGCCGTGAGTTGCCGGTGACGGTGACGGCGTAGGCTGCAGCCCCTGCTGCAGTGGGTTGCCATGGGCTACCGTGTGTAGCCAGCAGCCAGCGTGAGCGGCCAGCAGCCGCAGTGAGCGGCCGTCCAGAAGCCGGCGACTGATGTGCCTCTCCTGGGAAGAGTGCAATGATGGTGCCAACTTGGGCCAGTGAAGCAACGTCCTCCACAACTAGACTGAAGAACAAAAGGACAGCAACTTGTCTGTTCCCCTTCCCCCAATTTCCCAGCGCTGTTCCCATCCCCGCAATTCCCCAATTAAAAAAAAAAAAGAAAGACACATGGGGCCAGCAGATGATCTTCTGGTCCCTGAGAGCCAGGTGCCTCCTGTTTCCCTTTGCCCATCCAGTCTGGAGTTCCAACTTGTTTCCCTGTTTTACCATAGTTCAGGCCACTATAGCAGAATACCATAGGCTAGGTGGCTT